AATGTAAAGTTTTTCTTTTTTAAATCGTGAAATGATTTAGATCCAACGCGTTATGATGAGGGAAGGGGAATTTCTTGGATCACCTTCTTTTCAGGGAGCTCAGGCTATGCAGCAGAAAGAACATTTGAGTAGCAGTCAGATCACCAGTGGTCCAGGACAAGGTTGTACAGTAAATGCCTGCAGGTCAGAATGACACTGAGCTGAGACAGGGATGAGTTCTACCATTGTTGTCACTTGTTTGGTTCCTTTACTTTATGGAGGAGGAGGGGATACAGATTCAGCTGGTACTTTTTACTCCGTCTTTTCCCTCTTCAGGTCCAATAGCACATGAGCTGCAAGGCCTCCTCAAACTGAGGTCCCCCCATTCCCTTTTTGCTTCTCTGCTTCCCTTCAAAATTTACCCAGAATGTCTGTACTCTACTCTAAAGTCTCAGACTTGGCTTCTGCTCTTTCTTACTCTCAGCTGCCCATATGCCCATCTGCATCCAGATTTCTCTTCGACTTCTGGGATACTTTCTACATCTGTTTCTTGAACAGCTTTTGAAAAACCTTTTCAAGTGCTGTTGAAACACTTCAATTACTAAATCTTCTCCAACGTCCTTTTCATATACCTTCTTTTCTAATAATCAGTGGTGAGCTAGTGGAGGGCTTGATTACACAGCAGACTGTCCAGGGCTATCTGCTCCTTTAGGACTCATCTGATGAATTCCTTCTATAAGCTATTGACTGTTTTATCTTGCAAAGCCCTTTCACAGCCCTTTCCACTCCCTGGTGGAATCTTTCAAACGCAGATCAATTTCTAGAGTCAACAAACTGGGCATGGCAAACACTTGGTCAGTTTTCTCCCAAGTGGCAAGAATAAAGGTCTCCTTTCTCCACTCTCAAGGCAATATGATATAGACTATATTGGGTAAATTTGCCCTCAGCAGACACTGGCAATGTCTGGAGACATTTCCAGCTGCCACAGTTCAGGAATGCTGCTGGCATCTTGTGGGTAGTGGACCAGAATAGCTCAAAATATCCTAAGCCACATAGGATACCTTCCTATAGTAGACAATGGTCTAGCCAATGGCAATAGCACCACGGTTGAAAAACTCTGGTCTAACCTTTAGGAAAGAAGGAACTGAGGCCACTACAAGAAGTCTGAGAGCAAGGAGAAAGAATCCTATGGCTGCTGAAGAGGATTTTTTTTAATGTTTGGCCTTGGCACCAGGGAGAAAAGAATGGGAATCGAGATCATATTTACATCTGCAACAAAGCAGCTCCTCCTATGGTGAGGAGGAATAAGTGCTCTACAAACTTGCATGTTATGAACAGAAAAGGCTGTCAGCTGGGAGTGGTGGCAACTGTGTGAGCAAGTCCTGCAGGAAGGAGCAGGATAAGCCTGTGCTTGCTTCAGTCTGTATCGCAGAGGCCCAAACTCTATTATATGACAGGGACTTGCCGTGGGAACTCATTCCATCTCTTGACAAACTAAGTAACATGAGCTCTGCTGGCATACTATTTCTTAAGTGAGAAGAGTCTTTACTTCCTGGATCTATGGCCTAGAATCTCTACCCCTTTGCTGCTCTACCTAAACCCATGCTATCGCTTCTCTGGCAGGTGACTTCAAGTCCTACCTCCTCTTCTTGAGTGTGCTCACATTATTAGCAGTAGCAATTTGCTGTCTTAAAAAGTCCTAATGTCCATTATAAACACATAGATCCCATCTCCTCAATCAAAAATGCCATTCTCCTGAGGTCAAGGACTGTGTTGTAAGCTTCTACATCTCTAAGACTTGGTCAAATACTTTGCATAAAATAAAGACAGCCTGCCCCTTCTTTCAGTCAGGCCACTGCATGGACAGCTATTGTTCACAAGTATCTATGGCATCACGAGCTGTCCTAGCACATAGCATCCCGGATCTTATTTGATACTGCTGTTCTCCCACTTGGCAGAGAGGAAATGGATGCAGAGCAGGAAGTCACTTGTCTGTGGTCATCAGGCTAAAAGGTGGTACAGAAAATTCACATTCAAGCAGCCTGACTCAATGGCCCAAGAAGTGCTTTCTCCTTTACTGTACACAAATAATTCACTTGCTTGTCATCACAGTCTATTTTGTTCTGTTCTGCTACAATAGTCCACAGTGTGTTGTTACTAAACAGCAGAAACATATTTCATCATAGTTCTGGATACCAGCAAGTCCAAGATCAGGGCACTGGCCTTTCAGCTGTGTTACTCCATGCTAGGAGGACAAAGAGCAAAGAACTGGTCCTCTCATAAATAATTGAATCTTATAAAAATGTCATTGACTCAAGAGGGCAATGCCCCATGATCTTAACACCTCCTCTGAGGTCCAGTTCCTAGTTCTGCAGTGGGGTTTTCAACATATGCACACTGGTGGCCACATTAAAACCACAGCATCCCCTAGCTTTTTCTACCTGGAGGTCAAATGTATGTCCAGCACACAGGGCTAGCTAGCATGATGATTAGCAAACAGCTGAGCAAAACTTCTATACAGGCTGGAAGCTGCTGGCTGGCGGATCATCCTCTCAGGAAGAGTCACTGAATGGAATCACTTGAAGAACACTCTCCAGGAATCACTTCTTCTAAAACATGGAGGTGGTGAAAATGCGTGGCAGTCACAGGTTGACTAACGGTTTGATTCTCCCCTAAATGGGATGCTTAAAGGAAATGGACATGGGGTAGAGAAGTTCTGAGCAGTTCTAAACTGTTCCTGCAGGAATAGGATGAACAGATCTGATAAGGCAGAGGTACGCTGATGCCAGCGTTGCAACCCGAAGGCTGTGTGGCCTAAGAACACTGGGAAGACCTGTCTTTATTTGCAAAATCAAGCCATCGTTACCTATTGTATCAGGTGGGTTCATAGGAAGAGGAAATGGGACAATGTATGTAAAACACTGTTCCTGGTCTAGGCATTCAACAAACAGTGCGTTCTCCATTTATCTCTGGATAGGGACCCAAATTAGCCCTACCTTGTGATGTCCTGTGGCACCTGCTACTATAGCAATGTACCTATACTTTAGCTCTGGTTAACTGTCTTGGTGGTGCTATGTCCTCAGTGGCTCTCCACAACTCTAAAATATCATGAATTCCTTTAAACAAACTCATTCCCCTTTGCTATAGTGTCTGCTCTTTTTTTTTAACCTCTTACGTTCTAAAAAATCCACTTCCAGAACACTTTTATATCCTCTCTCAGTGGTCCTAGTATTCATTCTTTAAACTCACCGGCTCACTATGGTTTCTTCAGGATTTGTTCCATGCCTATAAATATGTGGCCAGAGTTTTAACCCCTTCAAGTGAAAGATACACTTTCCAAAGGTAGGCTGTTTACATCTTTGCTATGTCTTCTATAGCAGACAATGCCTTGCATATGGCAGTAAAAGCTAACCTTTACTGAAAACATGCTGGGTACTACTAAATTCTAAGTGCCTTCCGTAAACATAAAGAACTCATTTAGTCTTCAAAACAACCCCATAAAGTGTTATTATTCTTTCCATTTTACAGACCAAAAAACTGAGACCCAAAGAGATTCAGTAATTGAACCATGGTTGTAATGGCATAGGTAGTGAAAGAACCTGGCTCCAAATCCAAGTTTAAAAAAATCCACTTTCTTCACCCTCATGGACAACATTTAGTCAATTACAAATGCTAATCTTTGCAAAAGAGCTCTAGAAACTATGAAGGATTACAAACCCAAACCGGATCTAGCAAATCCTAAGTAGCTTTCCAATTTCTGTAAGGAAGGATTGGCGGCAGTAGTATGGTAAATTAGGCTTATCATTCCTATCTGAATAGCTGTTTCATCACTTTTTAACCTTTGGCAAGTCCCTTAATCCTTTTCAGAACTTTCTTCATCTGCAAGATCAAATCAGTATTTACTAGGATGTTTGTGAGAAAAACTTGGTTGTGAAGAGGGTTATGAGGGGAAAATCTGGGAGAAAATGAGGAAGGGGTGACACTGTTCAAAGTGAAATATACTCATTATTTGACTTATGTCAACTGTAACCTCTCTATACATCACCTTTACAATAAAATTAAATGAAAATCAGAAGCAGTGAGTCCACAGAGCACACAGGACAGCTCGTGGTAAATAAATCTCCTTGGAAGCCAGCCCAGGCAGAAAAAAAATCCCGGGGAGAGACTCTTATCTCCAGTCATGGTGCCCTGGCTCAAGTGGTAGAGTGCTAGCCTTGAGCACAAGAAAGCTCAGGGACAGCGCCCAGGCCCTCCTCAGTTCAAGCCCCACACCCGACCAAAAAAAAAAGGAGTAAAGTGAAAAGCAAGCGTCAGCAATGAAGTACTGACTCTGACAAACCTAAGTGTTTCCAAACGTGCGACGCTTCTAGGAAGCTGGAGAGGATTACGGGTATTTAATGTAGCCGTGACGATGGCCACGAGGACAGTTTGCGTCGGTCCACGGTGCAGGCAGCTACAAGAAGAGGCTGAGTCCCGGGGAACAAGACCAGAAAAGGGCTTCCCAGGGCCACGGTGTCTTCCTGGAAGACATTCAGGCCCCCGATGGGGGACAGGTTCCTGGAAGACATTCAGGCCCCCGATGGGAGACAGGTGTGTGTGTGGGGGGGCTCTCCCTTGGAGCTAAGTAAGCTCGGAATGGGACCGCGCCCGCACCCCTGGCCAGGCTCGGGCGGAGAGGGGCGTTCGCGGGGAGAAGGCGGGCCGAGGCCCCTCGAGGTGACACTTCTGCAAAACACCTCCGGAGACCCGGGATTCGAAGGCGGTGACCAAGCCAAAGGACACGTCGCTGTCGCGACCCACCAATTACAAGCAAGGTGCGTGCATCGTCCAGGAAGCTTCTAGACCAGGCCCGGCCCGCTTCCCACCAGCTGTTCACCCCCGCTCCCGCGAGGGAACAGAATGCCCGCGGGGCGCCAGGCCCGCGGCGCGCGGTGGGGCGCCGCGGGCGGCTCCATCCCGTTAGCGGGCCTAGCCAGCGAGGACGCACCAGATCCCCAGCCAGTTCACCACCGAGCACTCACCAGCCGGCTGTGGCGCAGCAGCCCAAACGTTCCGCTCGCTGGCATCTCGCTGCCGGCTGGGACCGCAAACTGCGCGGCTCTGCACCAGCCAGGGCTAGGTGGAGCCAGGGGATGGAGCAGGCCCCGCCCCCCTCCTCTCGATCCCCGCCCCTCCTTCCTAGACCCCGCCCCCTCGCGCCTACGGAACCCCAGGAGAGACATACCACCCTCTCCGCGGCTTGCGCCCTATGCCTTACTCACGCGAGACTTGGGCAAGGCTTGGGGGCGGGAAGGGAGCCGGAGACACAACAAACATGGCGGCGGCGGCGGCTGCGACGGTGACGAAGTCCGAGGCGGTTGCAGCGGCAGCGGCGTTGGACCAGGCGGTGGGGGTGACTCGGAGTGGTTGTCAGGACGTAAGTAGCCCGTGGCCGGGTCGCACGGCGAGGCCGCGGTTGGCCAGGCAGGACCGAAGGAAGGCCCGAACCGGCTTCGCCGCGGGCCGACGGGCGCCGTCCGAGCCTCGGCCCGTTGGCGAGCGGGGTCGCGACCCGGAGCCTGCGCGGCCGGGCGCTCGGGGGCGTTGGGGTGCCCGTGGCCACGGGCGTCCCGGGGAGTAACGCCTGCGCGCCCGCGCCGTCGGGCCGGAGCCCGGGGCTGCCTCCGGCCGTGACCGGCGGCGGGGCGGGGGCGCCCCCCGTGTGTGTCCCCTCGGGGCCGCCGGGGCGGGGCCGGCCGAGCGCGGTGCTCGCGGTCCCGAGGCGGACGTCGCCCCGACGCCGGGCTTTGTCACCCCGGGCTCTGGGTCTCCTGAGCCCGCCAGGGTCCGTCCCTGGGGCGCGCGCGCCCCGTCCCGGGGGGACTCCGGCGATTTGGGGGGACGCTGCCGCCCACACCTCTCGGCACTGGGGCCCCGACGGGCGTCTGCGCCCCGCGCAGCGCGTAAGCCCGTCTCTCCCGGACGCACCGAAGTCTAACGGGGTGTAGCTTCCAGGGATCTCGTGGCTCGCTTAGAGATCCCATCGTGTGCCAGTTAGAACCCGGAAGGGAATGACAGGTGAGGGAAGACATAAAGGCACCCTGGCGGGGAAAAGTCTGGGAAACTCAGAAAGTTTGGAAGAAACGAAACGAAACTTTCATGTGTACACTTGTGTATCTGAACTTCTACATAGACATTCACGCGTGTATATACAGGTACACAAATGTGTACGTATCTACAATAACACGTATGCATGTTATGTGTGCGTATGCATGTATAATGTGTTATACACATATGTATATGATTACATATTATGCATATATTTGCTAAAAGTTAAATGATTGTACAGTGGGTTACAGTTTAATAGCATTGTCCATTCGTCTCTTCTTTTCCCTCTTTCTTTTGAGGGGTCGGTACTGGGGTTTGAACCCAGGGTCTAGGTGCTGTCCTTTAGCTTTTTCGCTCAATGCTTGAGTTCTGCTATTTGAGACACACCTTCGCTGCTGCCGCTGTTGCTGCTGCCGCTGTTGCTGCTGCTGCTTCTCCTCCTCCCTCCTCCTCCTCCTTTTCTTTTCTTTTCTTTTTTTTTTTGTGGATAGTTGGAGAAAAGAGTCTCATGGATTTACCCACTCAGGCCAGCTTCAGTGCACAGTCCTCAGATCTCAGCCTCCTGAGTAGTTAGGACTACAGGCTTGTGAGCTATGGGAGCCTTTCCATTTGCCATTTCTCCCATCCCCTTTCCCCCCACATTTCCTCACTTCCGTTATCACATACCTATGAGAATTCTGACTGTATTTGTCCCGCTTTCCCTTTTTCGTCATCCATTCCATCCCATTAGCCTCCCTTTCAGTCTCAATTCAGCTTCCTAAACCTCATTTTGAAACACCTAGACTAACAGTTTTAAAATTCTCATTTTATTTTATGTTGTATCTTCAACACAGCTAGATACTAATATATATTCTTGGAAGTTGGTTGCAATGAATTGAAATGTTTGATCTTTTCCCTTTCTGGCCCAGTGTTTCCTAGCAAACTATAACTGTTGTATTATGAAAGAGTAGGGAAGATGAGATCAGAGATAGACTTGTTGGGTGTACTGGGGGTTTGTTTTTTTCATTGTTACAGGTATTTCTGTAATATAGGGTTAGGGAATTGTTTTTATACAACTATAGCTGTTCGTGTGTACTAAACCTGACCCAGTTAAAAGTTTGCTGTAATGTTAAATTTTAGCTTTGGAAAAGTTTTTGAAATATGAAAAAAAATAGTCTTCAGAAATCACCAGTAACAAGATGAGAATGACACATGCTTGTTATTTTGGGGTGTTCCTATGGAGCTCTTGCTGACCTGAGGCTATTGCTTTGCTTTGTTCCTTGGTTATCTTTTTACGTAGATCTTTTCAGCCATTAACAATGATAAGATTGGCACACATCGTTTTACTAGTTCATTTAACCTGAAGATGCTAATAAGGTTTTAGACCTTTGTATGACTTTGGTTTCAGTTGAAATTTTCTCCATAACCTTTTGGAGGAGTCCCCTGGTGTATCTCCAGTGTATATTTTGACTGTGCTACATTTCATTAATGTTGTAATTAAAGAAAAAGGTGGAACTGATTGGTGGTGCAAGATTCGATTACATAGTTCTTCTTTTGGATTTCCTCCAAAATGGTTTTATTTGTGTTTTACTTTTTTGTGTTTGGATTTCTCAGAGCCTCAGTACAATGTTCCTTTTTTATTTTTGCCTTCAAGGAATTTTTGATAATTAGGAAATCAAGAATTGTTTTCTATTCTTTTTTGAAGGCCCACACAAACCCCACCTCACTTGTCAGCCTTCTCAGTAAGTATTCCCTTGGAAATAAATCTGGTCATAATTATTAGGTAATAGAAGTAAACACATCTGTTGGACTCTAGAAACTTTCTTTGTATAGGTCTGCCAGACCTACAAATTGTTATTGTATAGTAAATTAGTTGCTAAATATTCTTCCTTATCATTTGTAAATCTTTCATTTGTAACTCTTCAATCTAAACACTTCTCAAAAAGCATCAGGTAAATGAAGTGGTGCTATTCACTAAATTCTTCCACAGTTTGTGGGGTATGTTAAAAAGCCTGTTTTTGGTTCTTATCTTACCTCTGCTGCAATTGTTTTATAATTCACAGCCTAAGTACCATTTGTTGTAGCTAATTAGTTCCTGATTAAGAGATGTTGTGTGTGTGTGCCCATAATGAATATGTGTATATATCACACACATGTCTGTTTGCATGTATGCACATACTTTCCAACAACATTTCAGATATGAGAAGAAGACAGACCAGAGGACTTTATACAGGGTAAATTCTTTTTTCAGAGAGATCAGGAAAGTTGTAGAATAGTTTAAATCACTTTCTTGAATGTAAAGAGATTTTCTTGTTCTTCTTAGGCTGGAGGTGTGGTTGAAGTGATAAAGCCTCAGCTGAAGTAGCAGGCCCAGGAAGCTTAAGGCCTTGAGCTCAAGTTCTGGTACTACCATAACAGAGAGAAGGGGAGGGAAGACAATGAAGAGAGGAGAGAAGGGGAGAGAAAATAGAAAAGGAGGAAGGAAGGGAAAAAGAAAAAACAATTTTTGAGATTTTGAGTCAGTAAATAGAGGTCCTGCCTAGGAAGTATAAAGCCCTGAGTCCAAATCCTACTACTGCCCGGCAACAAAATAACAAAAAACCACTTAATTCTTAGATATCCCTTTTTTTCTCTACTGCCTGTGTTTTAATCATAAGGCTTGAAAATAATTTTTCTCTTTGGTTGATATAATCAGATATCTGTCTTAGTTCAGGCTAAGAGATTGCCACAGACTGGTTTAAACAGATATTTATTTTTAGAGTTCTGGGGCTAGGGAGTTTAAGCTCAAGGCGTTGGAAGATTTGGTGTCCAGGGAAGGCCTGCTTTCTAGATATCCCTTCATAGCAGAAAGCTGAGAGGAAGCTCTGTTTTTGATATGGTCACCAACCCTGGGCAGAGAACGCCACATTTACAATCCAGTTATCCAAAGGCGCAGATCATCTTGGAGGTTAGGATTTCAACACATGCATTTTAGGGACACATGTTTGGTTTGTAGCAATATCAGCAAAAAGAGTAGATCTGGTTTGGATATACCATTAAAATCTGTATTGGAGAATGCTTCAGTATTTGTTTTCCAGATGGCATAGTTCTATACAGTAACAATTTGTGTAAGTAATTTTTTGGCCAGCAGACTCCACAGAGTATAATGTTCATGGCCAGTTGGAAAGATACCATTGAATAAAATTTTAGTTTGCTGAGTATTTTTTTTTCTTTTTTTGTTGGTCATGGGGCTTGAATTCTGGGCCTAGGCACTGTTCCTGAGCTCTTCAGCTCAGGCTAGCATTCTACCATTTGAGCAACAGTGCCACTTCCTGTTTTCTGGTGGTTAATTGGAGATAAGAGTCTCATGGACTTTCCTGCCTGGTCTGGCTTTGAACTGTGATCCTCAGATCTCAGCCTTCGGAGTAGCTATAGACGTGAGCCATGGGTGCCTAGCTGCTGAGTATTTCTTAAATTTGTCCCTCAGTTTTCCATGGGGATTGGTTCTGGGACTTGTAGATATTAAAATATGAGGACACTCAAGTCCCTTACATAAAATGGAGTAGGATTTACTTACAATTTATACACTTCCTCCCATATTAGTATTTTTTAATAGGTGCTGTGTTGTGTAGACTAGTCTTGAGTGGCACTTCTACATCAGCTTCCCAGTTACTGGAATTATAGGCATAGATTGCCAAACCCAGATCCCCTATATACTTTAAGTCATCTTTGGATTACTTACAACTGACAAAATGTGTATAGTTATTATATTTGCAAAGCTTTTAATTCATCAGTGCTTTAGTAGCATCTACATGTAGAGTTCTTAGATTCAACTTTCATTTCTGAGTTCTGATTATAAGGACAGGAAGATGATTTGGATAGAAAAACCTATATTTTCTTTTTACAACTACTAATATTATTAAAATTAATGACAATATTTTCAGAGTTGAAAATATATTGTGCTTAGAAATACTGACTTCAGATGGAGGAAGCTTTATTTTAAAGAGCTAAAGAATTTTTTTCTTTTTTTGTGTCTTGGTCCTGGGGCTTTGAACTCAGGGACTGGGCACTGTCCCTGAGCTTTTTCTGCTCAAGGTTAGTGCTCTAGGACTTGAGCCACAGCTTTACTTCTTTTTGCTGGTTAACTAGAGATAAGAATCTCACAGACTTTCATGCCCTGGCTGGCTTTGAGCCATTATCCTCTGATCCCAGCCTCCCAAGTAACTAGGATTACAGGCATGACCCACCAGTGTCCAGGTTCCTTTCATTTTTATGAGTTTGTTCCCTAGCCTAGAGCTCTTCAGATGCCTTGCCTGATTTGCCTTTTGCCTTGAGTATATGTGATAGATGTGATGAAGGTGGTACACAGTT